ATAATGCCAAGTTCTTGCTGAATAAATGAGCTTTTGAGATGTAACTAATTGGTAATTTTGTCTAGTAGGGTATATTCTTAAAATAATATAGATTGTATTTATTTATTGGCTATTTAATTTATATTAAAATAGTTTAAAATTAAATTCTGTAAAATATGAGCTCATTCAGCAACTTTGTGTACATATAATAATTTAATTACAATTAATAAAATATGTATTAACTAGGGCTGTCAATAGATTAAAATTTTTTATCTAATTAATCACACCCCAGAGCTCGTGTTTAAAAGCGAAACACATTGGAATTAATAATTCACTGAAAGCGCAACACGAGTCTCTGTTCTCTCTGTAAACTCTGATGTAATGAGCCTGGTTTCCTTTATATTAGCGCTATTTTGGACGGATTGTTTGAATGCATTCGCTTACTGGGGTTAGAATAGAAATTGTGCTTCAGTAATTTTGCGTTAAATTATTTTAACGCATTATGGATTGTAAAATTAATCGCATGCGTTAACGCGTTAACGTTGACAGCCCTAGTATTAACATAAAATATGTAAATATAAATCAACATATCAGCTTTCCTGCCCCCTGGATATCAGCATCAGTCATGAAAAAAACCCATCTCGGTCAACCACTACTCATATCTTTATTGTTTTGCTGTTAATACCATGAAAAGGGGCATAAGCAAAAAAAGAAAGAGAATATGAAAACGGTCAATAAGATCTCATGGTAAGTTGTTTGTGAGGACCCTGTCTTTTATGTCTGTATTATGCTACCCTTATCCTGATGAATAAGGCCATCTTTCATGCTCACTAGTGATCAAAGGATGGATGTCTACATAAAAGCCAAGAAAGAAGAACAAGCAGTCAGCCAACGACCATCATACAGAATACATTCAGCACTTGAGACTCAAAAGATAAAGAAATTTAAAAGAGAAACCAAGAGGAAAATGTTATTGCTCAGAGGTTGCTCTTAATGGAGTTCTCAGTTCTGCCTAATGAACTTTGTCTCAGATGTTTCTTCTAGAATTCCTTAAAATAAAAGGAATTAAAGGAAGTCACAAATCTGTCAGATGTTGACATATAACAAGAGTTTAAAGCTATAAAATTAAGGCTTTTTTCTCTGAAATTAATCTGAGAAATAAAAATCTCTTTACAGTCCAGGTGAAACATCTGAGAGCTTTGAGAGATTTCATTTGCAGCTTTTCTTTCCTATGGGAAGATTGAGAGATAGGCAACCCCATACTGTACATTACTCCGCTGATCATCATTCAGTGCGGGGGAAACATTTGAGTTCAGTCACTTCTCTTTTGCCCGGATCCCTCCGGCTAGAGTGAATTGGAGATGAGCCAAAATCTAATAAGTTTCAACCTGGCTGTCAGGGTTTGAGTGTGTGATGGTAGAGAGGTGTGTGTGTGTGTGTGTGTGTGTGTGTGTGTCCGCGTTTTTGTGACAAATGAGGACATAAATTTGTATAATGACAAGGGTATGACATAGGTATTACAAGGAGAAGGTGACTTTTCAGGACATTACCCCATGTCCCCCCCCTTCAAAACACATACATAAATAATAAAATTAGTTTGATGATCTGACTCTTTTAAGTGTGACAAATATGCAAACAATTAAAAAAACAGGAAGGGGGCAAAAACTTTTTCACACCACTGTAAAAGAAAAGATGCTTCCTATTGTGACAATACTTTTTTCCCCTCTTTGTGTGGCTCATTTATACTGTAGCTCAAAGTATGATTATAAAATCCACATTGTATCAAAGAGGTCTGATCAAACGCTACATGTGATATTCATTAAACACATGATCATCCACATGCCAAACAGTTTTGATCAAACAAAGCATCAATCTACACGTTCATCTCACACTGGCATTAATGCGAGGAGAATTGATGGCTAAAACACTTTAAAAGCCCAGATTGATTGGACAGAATACGTCATCCTCCATTCTCCCGTGCCTTCATTTGAAGTGTCTGAAAATGAATATCAGACAAAGCTTTTAAAATAGCCTAAGAGTAAAGTTATATTACTGATTCAAATATTCACATGTAGGAAATATGCAGGCCAATTTTGTGATTTCACTTGGCATTAATGAAAAGGAACACTTTCTAATTGGCTGAAACAACACTGCTATTTCAAAACATCAGTTCAGCAAATGTGACAATCAAAAGTGTTTACATTTTATATTCATAACATCATATTTCAGTTTTTAATGGCAAGTTTTCTCGCTCACTTTGATGTGCCTTTGCAGCTTTTCTACTCTTCCAATTTCAATAAATGTTTTTTTATGGACTAAAGAGAAGCGTTTTAGTTCTGTTAGAGTATATCTTCATAGCACATATATCAAAAGATCAAGGATAATTGGATTCTTTATGATATGACTTCTTTAAAATGAAAATTATTAGCAAGGTCCCTGTATGGGAAGTCTATGCACAATAGCTAGTCATGTTTAATCAGCATCACATGTTTAACAGAAACGGCAATCATGTGCGGCTGAGGCACAAGACTTTGCCAGACACTCCAGAGAAATAAGTCTGAGCGACTGGACAGCTCTAGTGGCTTCTGGGCGCCCCAAGTACATTATCTAAATAAACATGTCAGCTCAGTTAACAGGCAACCACTGGATGAGATCTAAGACCCTGTTTACACCTGGTATTCAGGTTCATTTCTGGTGATTTGTTTGAAATGGGTCCAGGGCCACTGCTGGCCAAATGGGTGCCCTAAGCAGGATTGTATTGTTGTGCCCCCCTTCCTCAAATATTATGGAAGTAAAAAAAACAAAAAACACCTATAGGGGTCAAAATATTATTCAGAAATTACAATTGTAGCTCTAGACAGTTACCTATGGCTATGACTTTATTAATACAGTTGTCTAATTGAGGCTGTGTCATCTATAGCAAAAAGCTGGCCAAAAATTAAAGATTAAGTGAATATTTGAATTAAATGTTTGGCCAATAACCTAAACAAGGATTTGATTGTCCTGTAAGTGTAGCAGCAGCAATTACCAGACCTTTGGCTCCCTTTGCAGGCATTTGTAATAACATGTAATGTACATAAATTGTTTATTTTGTATTAGCCTACATTATGTATTTTAACAGTGTTATTAACCACTCATTAGTGCCTCATTGTTTTTATATAATGCATTTTAAGTCATTTTAAAGGCTATTGTTGGCTTAGGTCTGTTTTTATAACCTCAAAAAATATTATCTTAATGCTTCTTTGCAAATTATTATTTGAAGTAACAAAACCATGGTTAATTTGCGGTTACCATGGCTACAAGAACGATGATTTTTGGTTTTATTCGTGTTAAAACCATGGCTAATTTTCGTAAGGGAACATGGAAACTCAGAGAGAATATTAGATGCGTTGGTGATGGTGAAATTATATCCAACATTAAAACACGTTATTAAAGTCAACAGCCAAAAAAGTTTCACAGGATTATGAATGTGCCTGAAAGTGATGCACGGGCTTCGTTTTCACCTTTTTTCTTTCTTTTTCTTTTCTCTGCGCCGGATTGCTGATGTCTTTCTGATGTCACGGGCATAGATGTCCATAGTCCATCCATCAATTATGATCATTTGCATTCAGCTGCAAACATGAGGTGCGAGCGGTCGCGAGCGCGGATGGGGGAATGGTGCGTCAAGTTTTTTTTTGAGCAACTGGGATGGTGCCCCCCTAGGAGTTAGTGACCTACGCAAACTGAATACTCTGCGTATAGGGAGTGGCGGCACTGAACGGGTCAGTGCTAAATGCAAGTGCAAACATTTTAAGATTGTGCCACTTCAACTACATTCGAAGGTGATCGAAATGTGACCACACTATATCTGACCAAAAGTGGTCAAATGAGATGGACACCACCATTCAAAAGTGTAGAGATAGTAATTTTTATATAAATAAAATAGATAAAATTATAATAAAAAATAGTAATTTTTTCTGAAAGAAATTAATTCAGAAAGGATGCATTATGTGGATCAAAAGTGACAGTGAAGACATTTCTAACAAAAGATTTATATTTCAAAAAATGCTTTTGAATTAATATTCATCAAAGAATCATTTTTAAAAAGCCTCATGGTTCCCACAAAAATATTAGGCAACACAACTGTTTTCAAGACTGACAATAATAAGAAATGCTTTTGAGCAGCAAATCAGCATTAGAATGATCTCTGAAGGATCATGTGACTCTGAAGACTAGAGAAATGGCTGCTGAAAATTCAGCTTTGCCATCACAGGAATAAATTGCATCTTAAAATATAATAAAATAGAAAATATATTTTAAATTATAATAATATTTCACAATATTGATGTTTTTACTGTATTTTTGTATCAAATAAATGCAGCCTTGGTCAGCATAAGAGACTTCTTTCAAAAACATTAAACAATCTTTTGAATGGTAGGTTGTTTTAGTATCAATTGCAGCGTGCCTTATCTGACCACTTGTGATCGAATCATAAGCAGGATCTAACACCACATCATGACAACAAGCACAGCAAGCCAAGGTTTTAGTATAGAAAATGTACATGTCATTAGGTCTGGGTGAGATATATATATCAACAAACGTCATCAAAAGGATGAAAACTATTACAGTATTATAATATTGAGCTCAATATTACTATGAACTCAATTCCTAATTCCTACATTTATATGAAGAGTTTATTTGCAAAAACAGATAACTTTTTAATTAATTTTCTTAAATCATGATTTTATTGTTTTATCATGTTTTTATTGTTTTATTGTGTTAGTTAGCTGTATTTTTTAGATTATTATTTCATCAAAACAACCCAAGTGCAGTTTGATTGATATTAATTGGAATGCAGGATAAAAAAAAAACATGATTTTTGAAAATTTTTTAAATTTTAAAAAGAGTTATCGGTTTTTGCAAATGAACTATTCATATGTTTCCCTTTATGTGTTTCCCTTTTTTCACTCAGCCCTATTTGTCATAATAAATGACCTCAGTGCACTTGATACATATAAAATATCAGAGCAATTTCACTTTACCTTGCCAACATAAAGAGGGTCATCTCCCGTGTACTCCTCCAGGACGAAGAATTGGTTCCACACCCAGTTGCGCTTGTGTCTTTGAAGGGATGCACCCACACTAGCTCTGAAGGGCCTGAGGGAAGCCGGGTGGAGCGGGATAGAGTTCAGAGTCATCCCCCAGCAGCCCACGTCCCACTGGGCTAACAGCAACATAGTCATTACAGTCAGTCCAGTCCACACTGCAGAGCCTATGTGCATCATTTGGATTAAAGGATGAACGTAAAAAAAAAAGAAGGAAATAAAAAATACACTCCTCCGTATTGAACAGGCACCAAAGATCTTGAGGCTATAAGGTGGCTCCTGGGAAATTGTGCACCACCCTCAGCACTGGCGTGGGTAGCGGGATAAAGCAGACCGTCTGACCGGTGATTGATGGGAAAGACCACAGGAATGAACGATGATTGTAGCTGAAGCTCTCAAACCTGTGGTGAGAACAGACATCAGGGGGAGAGGTTGAAGAAAATCAGAGAGAGCGAAAAGAGTCAAAGAAATAAACAAAAAGAGAGTCTGTCAGCACAGATGCAGGTTTGATTTACTGTCATTTTTATAATACCACTTCACATTTGAACCCCAGATTAAGACAACATGACTTTTGGCATTTCAGAGGTTGCCATCTGAGATGCAGGTGCAGGCAGAGCGCTACAGGTGAGCAAAACGGACATGCAGCTCTTTCCTTTGGATGGGTATTTGACAGCGCTGCTGAAAGGGGAGCACATTAATCCTTAGGGCTGAAGGGAAGCGGGAAGGGAGGGGGACACAGACAGAGGGAGAAGGGTAGAGCTCCAATGCAAAGGTTTGGAGAAATAAAGCAAATATGTACCATCTCAAGTTCCAACAAAGGAAAGAGTAGCTCCATTATCATACTTGGTTTATGCAAGACAGCATATGGGTCAATGTCAAATAAAAGTGTCCAAAGAAATTCAGTTTCAAACACATGTACTTTGTATTCATGATGGTTTTATTTGGTTTTGAAAAACCTTTAGACCATTGTCAAGAAAAAAGTTTTAATGACTAATAATGTTGTGGTCTAACCATCAAGTAAAATTCAATAACATATTTTCTGTATTTCTTGAATGCAAGTGTAGACATCTAAATCATTTTCAGTATACCAAAAAATAAATGAATGAATGAATGAATGAATGAATGAATAAATAAATAAAATATTTTAATATATTATACATATATTGAGTTGACTTTTTTAAAACAAAAGTAATAAATTAACATCATATTTTATAGCTTAAACTATCCATGTCTTGTTATAAAAATGTTAATAAATATTAATAAGCAGATAAGAATTTTCCTTCATTTTTAAAGAAATAACAAAAGCTTATGCCAAGCTACAAGAATCTGTTTTAATGAACCTTTTTCTTCATTATGTTATGAGGGCAGCTGTACATACATACATACACACACACACACACACACACACACACACACACACACATGTATATATTTGGAAATTCATAGAAGTGCTGTTGTGTATCCGGTATGTATGTATGAACTGCAATTGTACAATTTGCAATTGTATTTGTACAATTTGTTTTTGTAATAAAGAATTAATAGTTCCAGACAAAAAAAATAGCATCATGTCATTGGCCCACAGCTTGTCATCATCATACAGTATATCACAAGAATGCTAATAAATTGTTCTTTAGTAGTTATTTTCCAGTCACTTTCCAATCCAATGTAACTTACGGTATTTTTGTACTGTCTGAAACTCACACCGGGGTTGGTTAAGCACTTTGCTCTAGAGCACAATGGCAGTGGCTCGTGAATGGCCCCATCTGGGGTTTGAACCTACAACCTCTAGCTTAAGAGCTGCTACAAAGAACTACAAAGCCTCACCACACCATAAAATTGCGTTATGTAAGTGACACTGGATTTGTTATAGTGTATAAAAACCCTCATGCTCCAAATTGCAATGGAGAACTTCAATTTAAAAGTGTGCACTCTAAGTTGAAGTGACAAAATTCCAGGCACAAATTTCTCCTAAGGGGTCCCTGGAGCTTCTCGGTCCGAGAGAGCCTTTTAGGTGTTTCTAACATCCTTTTAAAGTCAAACACTTACAAGTCTGGAAAAAATAGTTCAAAAGGGATTTGGATAGAGCACATATATACGTTCTCTGGAGAAATCTGTCCTTCCAGCAGTTCAAACCCACAGCAGCAGGATTCACGGCCCAACAGCTTATTTTGATGTTGAAGAGGATGTCGAAATCTCCACGGAAATCCCTCGTTGTCCGAGAAAAGATGAGATCTGACCTACGCTTTACAGACAGAACAACTCCCATATTGGGTTTAGAGTCCATGGCAAGTCGAAACCTCGCAATTATCGCAGCATGTTCATAAGATTTATTAAGATAGTTCATGCAGGTTCAGAAGGGCTTCAAACAATGACGCTATTTGAAAGTGTTAAAGCATTAGCATTATTAAAAAATGTTGATGGTAATATAGGGTTTAAATAAAAGGTGTTAAACACATCTGAGACATTAAAGCTATATGACAGATGCTGTAACTGTGCCAAATAATAGTATACGTGAAGCTAAGGCTCTGAAGGTGAACAGAAGAGTAAACACACATGTATATATTTGGAAATTCATAGAAGTGCTGTTGTGTATCCGGTATGTATGTATGAACTGCAATTGTACAATTTGCAATTGTATTTGTACAATTTGTTTTTGTAATAAAGAATTAATAGTTCCAGACAAAAAAAATAGCATCATGTCATTGGCCCACAGCTTGTCATCATCATACAGTATATCACAAGAATGCTAATAAATTGTTCTTTAGTAGTTATTTTCCAGTCACTTTCCAATCCAATGTAACTTACGGTATTTTTGTACTGTCTGAAACTCACACCGGGGTTGGTTAAGCACTTTGCTCTAGAGCACAATGGCAGTGGCTCGTGAATGGCCCCATCTGGGGTTTGAACCTACAACCTCTAGCTTAAGAGCTGCTACAAAGAACTACAAAGCCTCACCACACCATAAAATTGCGTTATGTAAGTGACACTGGATTTGTTATAGTGTATAAAAACCCTCATGCTCCAAATTGCAATGGAGAACTTCAATTTAAAAGTGTGCACTCTAAGTTGAAGTGACAAAATTCCAGGCACAAATTTCTCCTAAGGGGTCCCTGGAGCTTCTCGGTCCGAGAGAGCCTTTTAGGTGTTTCTAACATCCTTTTAAAGTCAAACACTTACAAGTCTGGAAAAAATAGTTCAAAAGGGATTTGGATAGAGCACATATATACGTTCTCTGGAGAAATCTGTCCTTCCAGCAGTTCAAACCCACAGCAGCAGGATTCACGGCCCAACAGCTTATTTTGATGTTGAAGAGGATGTCGAAATCTCCACGGAAATCCCTCGTTGTCCGAGAAAAGATGAGATCTGACCTACGCTTTACAGACAGAACAACTCCCATATTGGGTTTAGAGTCCATGGCAAGTCGAAACCTCGCAATTATCGCAGCATGTTCATAAGATTTATTAAGATAGTTCATGCAGGTTCAGAAGGGCTTCAAACAATGACGCTATTTGAAAGTGTTAAAGCATTAGCATTATTAAAAAATGTTGATGGTAATATAGGGTTTAAATAAAAGGTGTTAAACACATCTGAGACATTAAAGCTATATGACAGATGCTGTAACTGTGCCAAATAATAGTATACGTGAAGCTAAGGCTCTGAAGGTGAACAGAAGAGTAAATCACAAAGCATCCCTCAGGGAATCCATTCCCTCCTTTTATTCCCTCCAAGCTCAAAAGCGCCAGTGCTGCTGGAGGAGAACAGAATGTCTTGCACTTTGCTTCAGAAGACCACAGTGCCAGGACCCCTCAGTGGGGAAAAGTCTCATCTAAAGCCTGTAATCTCCATCATAAGCTTCACTTTATAGGGGAATTACAAGTGCTTAGCAACTGATTAGATCTCTATGTGTTTGACTGAGTAGATTCAACAAAAGTTTTCAAAAATGGCTGACGGGTATCAAGAAAGCACAGTTATGGCAAAATAATCCGCTACACGTCTCAATTATCTCCGACCTCGAATAGTTTCATTGAAGTGCTACATGACACCACTGCTAAATAAAAAGAGCTTTGAGTGTGGAATGCTTATAGCATAGCGCAGGCTAATAAAGAGAGCTGGAAGGTGATATGGATCATTTATCAAGCTTGCATTAAAACTCGTCAAGCAAGGACATAGGAAACAAGCCCTGGGATTTTTTTAATGCGATGCGTCTGAAGCAATATCTCAGGACATGTTTGCATGACATAGCATTATTCAAATGTGCCCAAATTGCTTAGGTTCCAGCCTATAAGGAAAATATATATAGGAAGTTACAACATAACACACAAAGAAATACCATCTGATTTTTCAGAAATTAATGTGAGGGCAGCATGTCACAGTCTCAAATCCTTTGCAACAATTACACAGTTAGTGAACTGAATTGAATCAACATTGAACTGACTTGAGCTGTATAATGACACTATTGCCTTCTGTAGAGTTGGTAATAGCTGAATTTAACTCAATTTATAACTGACGAACTGATGCACTATAGAGTGCATTACTGCCTACCACTTTTCAGCAGCATTTGTTCTGTTTGTATTTTTCCCATTAATTTTTTCCATAGAGTCTATTAACCAAGCTAACCAGCTAAAAGGTGAATCACATTATAGACTTTTATTTGACACAAAAAAGTATTTGAAAACCATATAAAAATACAAAGATACACGGCTGTGTACTTAACAGCTTTAGTGATGGAAAAACTACAATCCTATGAAGCACTGCAAATGACAATCAAATTAAAAAGAATGGAGAAATATAAAACGATTCATTTAAAGTTGCTGATCGCATCTATAGAAACAATACATTTGAAGATTATTGTGAAATATGCATACATACAAATGTTTAAGTATTTTGGGAGATCAATTAGGACATTTATGGTGCTTCATGGGAGTGAGTTTTCCATGCAGAGCTCTTTTGGCACAATTTCCTTCACAAGTCTCCGATTTTCTATATAGCATCATGGGAAATGTAGTTTTTCGCCATGAATTTTGTTCAAACAGATGGTTTCCACAAAAGCATATACTATTGATTAAAGCCAGGGTGCGAATTGGGGGGTTGGGGTGGTCTGAACCCCCTAAAGAAGGCTTGATCCCCCCTGATGGACATCAAAACTAGATGTAGGGGGGGTCATATAGAAAGTAGGCTAGCCTACGCATAATATGGAGATTTACTTGTAAATATTAATATGTATTTCTATAGCTCTGACTGATTTTAAACATGTAATTTTGGCAGCCCTTGAAATGGGTCTTAAAGACATTACCTGAACGGTTGAAGAATACGCTATACAGCGCTCATTCAAAGACATGCATTTATTGCTTGGATGGAGCAAGAACACCTGTCCTGAAATGCATGTGCAGATTCAGTCGAGAGATAAAGTTTACCCTCTTCAACTTAATGCTGTTGAACTGAATTTACAGAGCAAACAATTTGCTAAAATAACCACAACATTAACAGAATGGAGTTTTTACTTCTGAAATCTGACAGTTGCACTCTATCATCTTCTGTAGAGCTCCTTTACAGCTAAAATTGAATTTGTTTAATAATTTATGAATTTTGCAACATTAATACTGTTATTGTCCTGTTTATTAATGTGAAGCTGCTTTGAAACAATCTGTATTGGCACTATATAAAAAAATTTGACTTGACTGTTAAACATTCAAATCTGTGTGTGTTTTGCACTGGGATCCTTCACAAACCCTTTATGGTTTCATTCGATTTTTCACCAATTATTTTACAGTAATCAAACAATGGATCATGTCTAAAAACCGATTTACTGTTCATTACATGGTAGCTATATGCCATGCTATCAGTGTACTATATTTGTTCCTCTTCTCTTTCCAGCCCCCCACTAGCATTATCCCCCGCCCGAATCTGCTCGCTGTCAGGCTTGGCTGAGGCCCCGGACTTTGTGTTCAGCACAGATCGCCCAAATGGTCTGGGACAGGATGATGAAGTCTCATTAGCCCCCCATGCCATCTGACGAGAGGAGCTGAGGCTTCAGCGCAGACCGCCCTGTGAGAGAGCGCCCACAGCCACAGCCAGAGATTCAGCTCCAAAAACCCATCTCAACACACTCTTTAGTCATAGCCCCCCTGCGGTGCAAGAGCGATTGTGGCACTCACCAGGGACAGTATGCTCCAACACAGAGCAAGGCAAGGCTCCTGGCATCTGGACATCAAAGACAGCACAGTGCGGACTGGTAGCATATGGCCTTCTTATTATGGCTGCCCTTCGCTGTGCAGACTCTTGAGGGTGACTACGACAAGATTACGCAAGGATCTGGGCTGGAAATGACTGCTTATGAGCATGAAAGATGAAAAATTCTAATAAAGAATACATTTATAACATATTAAAAGACTATTTTCTTACAAAGTTTCACTACACGCTTCACCAAAAAAACCCTGTTCACATAATATTTTTGTAATAAGTTCTTTGTTTATGCACAAATCTGTCACTTAAATTCGAAAGGCCTGGGACAAAATGTTTATGGGTGGGCCTATTGTACTTCTTATCCGGAATATTTTTTTTAAAGTTGAAAATAAAACAAAAATTACTGAAGTACATTTTACAAGAAATACTGTTTTAGTCTTTCTACTTCAAAAATCCATGTTTAATTTAATGTTTTACTTGTTGTTTCTTTATAATTAATTGTGAAATTTACTAGCAATTTCTAAATGAAAATTCTACACCAATTTTTTTTCAGTGACAACATGACTTGGCAAAACTACTACTATTTTTACTTTATTTTTACACTGTATTTTTACAGTGGGTCCCATTTTCATATATTTCCTTGGGGCCCAAAAAACAACAAGACAGCCATAGTCTACACCATATAAAATCTTACTAGGACCTCCATATTACAGGACAACATTCTTGGTCATCCCTCCCTGACAACAGCCCTGTTTATGCATGGGCACAAACTGAAGTGCAAATAGGCCCCAACCAGATGTTAAATCAGGAAATAAGCAATAGTAACAATTAAGCAACAACACAAGAACTAAACATATTCTACAAATAATACTGAAAATCACTTCACATTGAAAAACACACACACCTAAAACCACAATTAATTTTTGGATGTGAGCCACATCAAGTTGGCCCTTACAGTTCACTCAAAGCGCCACCTAGCGGCCGCTCGCGTCTCATTGCAAGCGAAGTTTCTACTACGAGCTTCAGTGCTGTTGTTGGCATTGCAGTGGCGTCCTGACAGGGAGGTATTTGATATCGATACGGCGGTGTGAGGAAAATCTGCACCTCTGTACTTGTGATATCCGCACTTGTTTTGGTATAACACTACTATACACAAAAAACAAAAACCTCTTACTCTCACTGATGTATTTTCACATCAAAAAGTCTTTCACAGTCACACTACAGACGACAGTATTTGCATCACAAATGCGAGTCCCTGGCAAGGTCCCAAGCATTGCTCTTAGGACTGAGAAATTGTACTTCGTAGCGACTCGATTAATATGCTGACTGCCAGACCTTAACTTTTGAACATCACAGATGCTCCTGAGGGAAAAGCACTGAATATTAAAACATCACAGGCAGTGAGAAAAACTTTCAGAGCGGCTCCTAAAAATCTTAATGCTGACCACACGGTTCGACAATATCTGAAAGTGCATAGCAGGTGAATATGTTTATTAACTGTATATTCAATTTTATTATTTTTCTTTTATTTCATATTTATCTTTCCCTTGTATCATATGACATACTTTAACGCAAGTAGGCTACGTTATATTAAAAATATAATTTCTGAAAAATCTAAAATACATTAAAAAAATTATAACAAATAATATCACAATAGCCTATTGCCATTTCTCAACTCTTAGATTGCTATAATATGATTTTGTAGCTTCCTAATATGTAAACGTGCACCGCAAATAGCCTACACTCATTCCGTACGTTATTGCACCTCAGCAAACACTGCATAAATCAGACTCACCTTTTCCTCCTGGTCCTTCGCGTGTTTATAAATTGTGAACGTTCTTGTGAAAATGCAGAAGGATTCCGTCACGTCGCAGCCGCTCTAGACGCGCTCTCCCCGAGTGAGTGAAGGAAACAGGAGCATCCCTGCACTACAGGCGTCTTTCCCTCCGTTCCGCTCAATCACTGCGCTGCTCGCTCACACTCCGCGCGTCTACAATAAGCCCTATTGAGAAGCCACAGCTGCAACGAACCTCAGCCAGGGGAGAGCACTGTGGAGAGACTCACAAAGGGACCACAACACTGTCGGCCATCCGTGAAGCATGCCTCGGGAGCCTCAGTCCCCACAAACTCTGGGAAAACAGTGGTTACGCGCAACTTATTGTCTCTCGTGAAAGTGGCTGACAAAATGGACAAGACTCTGTTAGTGTGCTACAGGAGCATAGCTCATCAGGGAAACGTTGCACTGAGGGGAGGTGCCGATGTCAGTCAGCGTATCCAAGGTGCCGCGGCGATTGTAGGATTCTAGGGGGGTGCACTGAGGGGCCAAAACGTGCAGAGAGGGACCAAATTAAAACCTCGTCAAGATGATTCTGTGTTCTTGAGATGTGGGTCGAAGAACTTAAATTTTTCAAGCTATTTAAGAAAAAAAAACTGACATACCTAAACTTTATCTATGATTTGAAACAATGAAAAAAAAATTCTCATTGCAGGTGCATCTCAATAAATTAGAATGTCGTGGAAAAGTTCATTTATTTCGTCAACTGTCAGATGACAAAGGTTTAAAACAAAGCATTATTACCATAAAATGAATTTATTGAATTAAAGTATTGTTACCATAAAATGAATATATTGAATTAAATAATTTCACTGGTTATAAGACTTGTGTGTGTGTGTGTGTGTGTGTGTGTGTGTGTGTGTACAGTGCTCAGTGTACATATTAGTACCTTTTAAAAAGGTGACAGCTTTTGTTTCTGAGAGTGTATTTATGTGTTATGTATATGTGAATGCGAATGTGTGTGTATATATCTATACCTGACATATACCTAGAAAAAGTCCTGTACCTACTAAATATTACCTTGGGTTTCTCTACAGCTCACTTGTTTTTGACTATTACGAGGTGCTTTGGAAGCCTGTCTGAAACCATTTTCCGTAAGCGATGTCTTTATACACAAAACACTGCCTGGGAAGTGAATGACTGGACAGCCAAGCAACTGCCTTCAGTTTCGGATGCAGCACTGGAATGTTTCATTGTTTTTATCAGTCCGCTTGTCACTGTTCAGCGTGTGCGGTGCTGAGAGGAAGCGGATTTGCCTTGAGTGAGAAGCACTCTTTTTTTTTTTAAAGTCAGAGCGCTGGCGTTTTCTCTCTTGCAATGAAAGTGGAGATGTGTATTTTTGTCCTATAGCGAGGAGGAGCAGGTAGTTAAAAATTAAATCTTTTGCATTTTTCTATTCTTATGATCGCTCGGACCAGGGTTTCTCTTACGGAGAGTAACTGGAAAACATGGAGTGGATCGAGGGCACAGGGTGCTTTGGGCAGAGAGGGAAAATCTGTCGCGCCATTCCACTCACATAAAATACTCCAGACCGGACTTCAGTCTGTGCATTGCTGTGTGTTTGCTTTGGCTTATTTTGGAACTATTTTCATTGACCTTTAATAAATAAACGAACTAACCAGTTTTTGTCAGAAACATTAAAATATTAATACTGCAAAAGAATTACAATATATTTTCAAGTACAAAAGGCAAGTACAAGATAGAATCCAGGGCCTGGAACCATATTCAAATGTATGTACAGAGTAAGACAAACATTTGGACATGAGCTGCAGTATGTATCATAAGAAATATATGCAAATGTTTTGTTTGTGGCCTGTGTTTCTGTGCCGTCACCACTAGCCAGGGTGTATTTGCATGCTCTGCTCCCTCATGAATCTAAAAACGTCAAGCATGATTTTTGTTCTTTCATTTTGACATATTGGATATTACAGACATAGATTATTATTTGACATTAAATGTTACATTAAGAATGGATATGGCTTATTGGCATGGTTGAATGAAAAGTTACATTAATGCTGAAGTCTACTGTATCTCATCCTTTCCACCCTCTCTTCAAAAAGAGAGAAATATTCACTGTACCTATTGTAATAATTGAAATTTCGACCTTCCTTCAAATGTAATGGCTTGCCATTTTTTTCTGACATTGAGAAAGAGAAGAATCAAGTTTTTTTTTAAAGGAATTACGACATGTCCAAAAAAAGCTTCCAATGAGAAAGTGTGCTTGTGTCTATCATCCACTCCAGTATGATTTAAGTCACATAGCTGCAAGGCTCCTCGGGCTCAATCCCTCTGTGACCTAAAACAAATAAGAGAAACTTTATATTGAAGAGAGTCCTCTAATCCAGCTGCGAGCATTACTTTATGGAAAAGTTAATTAACTGTTGCTGGCTTATGTCACCGTCAATAGACCTATGCTTTCAACAGCAGTGCTGAGCCAGTCAAAACTACACAAATGCAACAACTCCTCAATTACATTGGGACACTCTGCGGTGTCACATTGCCCTGGATTAACCAACATGGGCGACAGCTAGAGCCCTGAGCTTCACTGAGCTACTCTGAGTCCAATGTTCTTGCATTTAATCCCACAGTTGAGAAGCACTGAGGCAGGGTAAGAGTATTTGTTTGAAGTAGTGCATAGTAGACCAGATCTCGAGTTCGTAAGTGAGGGTGCAGCTGAGCAAGTTTCAAACCAAGAGAGGCAGAATCTTTAGACAAGGTTTCATTTTTGCTGCTGTACAGTTGTGGCAATGTGTGGTCTTCACAGAAAGAACCACAGTTTGCCCTTGATACTAAAGGAGGACACTGTCAATGTGTGGGGGAGTTTGCGATCCAAGTAAGTGTCGGCCTTGTGATATTGCATTTGCTTTAAGTGCACAATTTACCAAGTAGAGTCAGTGAGTGCACAGAGCACTGTAAGACTGCACAGAAGCTAAGAAATTATTTTTAGGGGTTGCCTCAAAGGTGAAGTGGTGTTCTGGAGAACACGATTCATACTCCAAAGGCACTTGCCTTTCTGTCTTCTTGAGCAACCTATAAAAGATCCAAATAAAGCATCCACATAAGCTGACATACATTTTTAGAAGAAGATAACTGTTTGTAGTAATCAAGTTCAATTCATCAAGGCCAGTATTCAGTGGCCTTTTACTCAAGTGAAACAAACTGTCGAAATCACTCTATTCACTTCTTTGTGAAGTGAAAAGGCATGGTCATTCACACACTTTAAAGCAAGATACTACACACAAACAGAAATCATATGTGGTATAACTGAACAACAATTATAGAAATGCACTTATTGTAAAGCTGTCTTTAAAGAATGGCAATATAAATGTATGTTGTAATTGCTTTTCATATCACTTTTTGGCTTTTGCATGTTCCTTGTGCCTTGTCACAGACCAACAATATCAACAGCTGGAATATCTGGAATACTAGTTCTGGACACATGATGACTCAAAAGCTCCATTCCAGCCACCCCATCAGTTGACAACTTCTGGATTTTACAACACTAGAGCCAACCAGGACAGTCAGGAAGCTGGGGGTATTGTATAAATAAATAAATAATATTTTGCTTCCCACATCTCGATGGTCATCCAGTGTTGTTTTATAGCATCAACATTGGTGTTTCAAGACGGGCACTGAAACAGCTCCCTCCCTCACAAATGTCCTTTCCCAACTTGAGTGTGTGAAAGTGGCTTTCCAGAAACTTCACTCCGTGGTAGAACGAGTTTCCAACCTCCACCCAATCGACTGAGACCATCACAAGAAACACCTAAAAGCACACAACCTCTGTGAGCACTTAAGTTAAACCACAACCATAATCCAAGGTACTTCTTTCTTTTGCTCTCCTATATTTTAATGCCCAGCCTCTGTACTACTTGAGCTTGCACTTAAAACTTGCCATTTGTGGTACGTAGAGAAATATTGGCTGTATTACCATAAATTGCTTGTGATGTTTTTTAATGTTCTTCATTTAGATAAATGTATCTGCTAAATGACTAAATGTACGTACAAATGTACACTACTTTTCAAAATATTTTTTTGGGGAGGAGAGTATTCAGTGTCACATGATCCTTCAGAAATCATTCTAATATGCTGATTTGGTGCTCAAGAAACATTTTTATTATCAATGTTGAAAACAATTGCTTTTTTTAGTGAAAAACTGATACTTTTTTCAGGATTCTTTGATGAACAGAAAGTTCGAAAGAACAACATTTATTTGAAATTGAAATATTTTAACAATATAAATGTTTTAACTGTCAATTTTCATCAGTTTAATGTGTTCTTGCTAAACTAAAGTTTTTTTTGTTGTTGATTTTTGTTTTAATCTTAGTGACTCCAATGTTTCAATTGTATTGTATATCTTATTGGTCAATTACTTTTAAACCCTGTTCTGTCAAATTTTGTCCCTAGTGTGAATAAGTCGATTGTTTAAATTTTCGAAGTCTTGTTCACAGCAAAAATTCACTCCAGGTGAGTGAATAAACATTTAGCTTTGTTTAGCAATATTGCTAAACCCAGGTCAGACTGTTTGATAAAACTGAACAATGATTGCTAATGATTGGATGGATGGATGGGTGGATGGAAAGATCGATGGTTGGATGGAAGAATGCATGGATGGATGGATGGGTACGGTGGGTATATTTGTCTCCACTAATGGACACTTGGGGCCTGCCACCTTGGACATCTGCCTGATGATTAATTAGTCTTCTAGAAGATCATCTCTGCACTCAAAGCAATGAGTGTTGTTCATCCAAAAATTTAAATTCTGTCATCATTCACTCACCCTCATGTCATTCCAAAACTATATGACTCTCTTTCTTATGTGTAACCCAAAAGAAGATTTCCCAAAAATCTTCTTTTGTGCTCCGCAGAAGAAAGTCACACATGTTTGTAATGACAAGAGAGTGAGACCATCTTCATTTGTGGGTGAGCTGTGCCTTTAAAGCATGTAAAGCCTGATATCTTGAGAGTTCAGTTGATGGTATTGAAAATAATTGATCTATCAACAACTGCAGCTTTCTCTTTGGGGTGTAATAGATGTTGACAAATGTAGAACAGAAAGTATTGCTACTACACTATATTAAGGATTAAAACAGTGTATTAAAAATGGCATAACTGAATTTAAACCAGTTTAACAAAGCATCTCCTACACTAGCGTCAAGTGCTTTTGTTCTAGCTTCACTCCATCTCTGTTTAATTCCACTTGTGTTTGGCTTGTGCCCCCCACTATAGCACCACACCAGAAGCATAAGGCACCATGGAAACCCTGTGTCTCCGAGG